TAAAAGGGTAATATGGTAATTTGGCAATGCAAGAGATACGCTAATTCCTTGCATTTACTAGTGGTGAATCTTGTGTTTTGAGAAATGCCAACACAGAAGCTAAAAGGGGAAGAAAGTTCTACACTTGTCACACACAGGGTTGCAAGTCCTTTATGTGTAGACATTGTTCGAGTTTCAATATATTGATTGTAGGGGAGGGACCACAGCAAGAAGTCACTAAGTCTTGTGGCTCAAGAAAAATTACAGGAAGTTAAGGAAAAGGCTGATGCCAACTAGAACAAGTAAGTTCTTTACTTAATTTATTTTCTCATAAGTAGTGTTTGGTATGCATGAATCATAAATGGAATGCAATAGTTCATTCCATAGGAATGAAAAAATGTTGTTTTTTTACCAAAGATGGAATGAGATTCCTTCCATCTTGTTACTTTTCAGGAATTCCTGAAAACGGACTTTCTTTTTTCTCCAATACATCATATAGAATGGAATAAAAATTTGCAATATAAACAAATTTTATGTATGTAATTTTTAAAAACCCAAATATTTTTTATAAAAAATCATTATAATTAAACATCTTGTTGGGTGGTATTTGTAAATCAATAATTTTCATGGATAAAAACTTTAAATATATGTGCACAATTTTAATTGATGTCAACTTTCAAAGTTCTTGGGTGGTACCTGCAGTAGTGTTGGGTGGTATTTGGCAAAATCTAGAAACCATGAAGGTTAGTTCTATAATTTCCTTCTTAATTAAAAATATTGCCTCCTTTTTAATAAATGGTAAAAATGTTGTTAATATTGCATCTTTTTTAATAAATGCTAAAGAAGAGTAGTTCAAAGAATCAAATGTCAGGAGAGAACATAATTTCCGAAGACTAGTATGCAAACATAGTATTATCTTTAACCAACATGTATTACCATTTACTTTTTGGTCGGAATGGGAATTCAATTCCATTCCGGTCCGACACTTGGTTTCAAATGCTTCCAACAAAGTCTCCTTTCATTGCAGGAATAAGTAAGTGGCACTTGGTTTTAACAGGAATCGGAATCCAATTCCATTCCAATCCTTCTTTCGGATGCAAGATATGAAACATTAGAGAAGATGTATTCGGAAATGCAAAATATGAGAGGAAATGCAGAAATATGGTTATATTATACTTTGAAATCAAATAGCAATGAGTATTTAACTTTGGTATTTCATTGTTAATATTTGGTTTTGGATTCTATATTTAATGGATATTTTTGGTATTGAAATGATAATGTTTGATTTGGGATTGTATAATTATTTTTTGTTTTAGATTTGTAATACAATATATATATATATATATATATATATATATATATATATATATATATATATATATATATATATATATATAGTTGATATTACTCGTTTGCGACGGATCAGGAATGGAAAAGAAACAAAAACATATATTAAATTTGAGAGGGATCAGTGACAGAATACAAAAACATAGAATTTGCGACGGATTAGCGACAGATTAATGGTGCTGAGTTTTGTTGCTAATGTCCTAAATAATTGTATTAAGTGACGAATTTGCAATGGTTGATCCGTCGCTAAGGTCGTCGCAAGGAAAAAGTAATATGTCGCTAAATCTGTCGCTAGGTTATTACCCACACATTAATTGGCTAGAGAGTATGTTTATCGCTTATCCGTCGCAAACATCCTTTAGCGACAGAATAGCGAGGGATTTTTCCATCTCTGAAACCCCTGGTTCTAGTAGTGATATAATTAAATATTTCTTATCTCTCTCTCTCTCTCTCTCTCTCTTAATGATTTTTGCAACAACAAAATCAGTTTCTTACTTTTTATGATTAACTGCTTTGCATTTATTTCTTATTCTATAGTTGTTGAAATGAAGCATATACTGCATCAAATCCTAAGTGTTTACGTTAAAGTTTACAAACTTAGAGTGACAAAAAACCTTTAAGGATAAGACCTTCTCTGTGCAGTCTTATACAAATCGACATCAACAACTATGATGTTGGTTTTACTTTTATTGTTTAATTTGTCTTATAATTTTGTCTAATAACGTGAAAGTCTGCTTCTACCTATTTCTTATAATCATATCCGACCATGAAGGATCAATCTGATTTTCGGACGAAACTTGGTAATTATATTAATAATAACTGGATTTATTATTCGCAACTAATTAACACATAATTCTCAACATAAAATAATGACATGTCAAATGAATATCACATTTCAATAAATTCAATAATTACGTAACTAAAAGATCATGTATTGTCACGTTTATATAATATTTGTTTGTCACGATATAAAAATGCGATATTAAATATATAAATAATGTGACAATATGGAAGACAATTGTTATGTGCATCTAAATTGTTTATGTTGACAGAACACTAATGACTTCAGTTTAAATTACTTTCTATGATTATAGTACAAATAATAGTCACACTCAACAATATTTGCATGTCTAAATAATAAAATAGGTTATACTTGTAAACAATTTTTGTGGTAATAATTTGAATACTGGTCACAATTACAACAATGATTATGTCTATAAATCATTTAAAGTTATTTTTTAAATAATTTTCTATGTCGAAATGATATAAAATAGTCATAGTTACGTCTTTTTAGATATTTGAATGATAACATTGGTCATGATAAATAATACAAATATGGTTGTAAATTAATATTAAATCTATAATTAGTACTTATGATCATGTTTCACTTAATTTAGTGTTTCTACACGATAGATAATAGTCACGAACATATATTGTTTTTGTGACTAACTATTAGCAAATTGACACTTTTGAAATTAATTACATGTGATAATTTAGTGATCATGGTCATACTCACCGTAATTGCATGTTTACAAAAGATACTCAATAGTCTTAATAAACTTTAAATTGTGTGACAATTTATTAGCAAAAGGTCACATTGAAACAACATGTATGTCACAAGTTGGTAATATACAGTCACTACAATTACCAAAAAAGTATGTCTACTGACGGTTTAACGTGACGTATTATATACAATGATTGATTATAAAAAAAAACAATTCCCTACCAATAGCCACACTTTAATGATACGACCATACATTTTCATATCATTCAGACAATAAATTTTAAAGTGACCATAAGATCGCAACAATGACATCACATTTGGTCACACTTTTAGTGAAAAAAGTCACTATATACATATGGTCACACTTTTATGGTGTATCCTTTGATTATTTTTGTACTTCCATTGGCTGATGTTTTATGGTGTGAGCATTATCTTTTGTCTAGTTTCTCATCTGGGGACTAGGTTCGGGGGTGCGAGAAATTACTCTCCTTTTGTCTTTTATTTATATTGGTTTTATGTCTTGGAGGAGTGTAGCTAAGAAAAGAATAGAAAATTGTTATGAAGAGTTCCTTTCCTCTCGAAAGCTTGGATTTTATCTTGTTTACTGAGTATTGAAATCTTGGAGTGCAATCATTTGTGTTGCTTATTGTTTATGGTTTCATATGGAAGTGTTCTTTGTTATTAGGGTCTAACAAATAAGATTGTCTAGTCTGGTGTAAAAAACACAACTTTGTGGAAGACTTATGTTAATGACATAAATGTCCTCCTCATCCTTATATGTTGGTTATTCAGAATGATTCTGACAATATTACTCGATTTCTCATGCTGGCAAGAGATCCAATTCCAGGCACAAAAAGACCCTTCAAAGTGAGTGATATCACAAACATAATAATAATAATAATAATAATAATAATAATAATAATAATTCACACTCATACTTCATTTCTTGTGCTTTTCATAATGTCAAAATGTCGTTTTTGTCCTTAATGTAAAACCAAGATTCTTTTACCACTTATTCATTTAATGAGATGGAAAGTCGTTTGCAGGGAAACGACCTCTTCTACAGCCTCTTGTAAACAATGATGGTCTGAAGTAAGTTTTATGACAATATATGCATAAATTAAGTGCTAATTAAAACAGTTCAAAATATTATATATAGCGAATATAGGATGCATAAGAACATTATGAAGATTACGTATTTGCTAATTACGCAAGTTATTTGTGTATTTAATATACAGGCATTTCGATTATCTCTTCTATTGTGATTTTGAAGCATCAATGGCTGACTACAATTCCCAAAATGCCCTTAAGTATTTAAAAGTAAAAGTATTTAAAAAAGTATAATTTTTATTTTCTATTTTTTTCAGTCTTGACTTCTAAGCAAACACATTGGCAGAAAGATTTTATCTTATGGTAAGAATTTGCAACATTTTTTGAGATTTTTTGATAGCTACCCAATGGACATCAATTTGGTATGAGTGAATTGTACCTAATCAACCCTTGATATTAATATTTAGTAGATCAAAGGTTAAAAAAGTAAAATTCTCATTTAGATGATTGTCGTTGTACAAAAGTGGCCAAAACTATTCATGGGTTAAATCCACATGCTTCAAGATTCAAAAAGAAAAGAAAAGTAAAATGTTTGGAATAGTGGATGATGATTAGGGTAGATTATGCATAGTTTTGGTGGTAGAATATTTTATTATTATTATTATTATTATTATTATTGTTATTTTGTGTTCGCTCATTTTGAGAAGTGTTTTGTCCCTTCAACCATATTTAGCAACTAGACGACCACTACCACACAACAACCCTTAATCCGGAGTGGTTTGTAATATCTTCAATCGGATGATTGCTCAATGAAACATCAATGAAGACAATATTGAAAACAAATTTAATAGTATGATGTGGATAAATTGTAAAATAATAATCATACTTTTTCAACATCAATGATAGCAGCTTAACATATACTTTTATTATAAAAAAAGAAAAAACAAGTGGGCTTTACCAACTCTTGCTTTCCACTATGGTTGGCTAAGTCCACAACTGCAATGAAAGCTCAAGTCTGACCAACCCCACGCACAAGAACCACCCCTCCACCTTCCGATACTCCATTCCCACTCCTTATATATTCCCATACACCCTATCCTTCCATTTCAGCTTCATTTCAACCCACCATTACCCACTCTCGACTCTCCATTTCACAGTCAAACACCAGAGATTTGTTACAATGGCTGCCACCGGAGAAGCTCAGCCTGCAAAACACCAAGAAGTTGGCCACAAGAGCCTCCTTCAAAGCGATGCACTTTACCAATACATTCTCGAAACCAGTGTTTACCCCAGAGAGCCAGAATCCATGAAAGAGCTACGAGAGGTCACTGCTAGACACCCTTGGTAAGTCATAATTACTGCATGCATTTGATTTCCTAATGTTATATATAACGTATTAATTATGATTCACGAGTACGTAACTGAATTAATTATTAATTACCATAAAAACATTGTGGGTGCTTTTTGTTATCTATCTAATCCGTTTTACTTGTAATACTAAATGTAGGAATCTTATGACGACATCTGCTGACGAAGGACAGTTTTTGAACTTACTTCTCAAGCTCATAAATGCTAAGAACACAATGGAGATCGGTGTTTACACCGGTTATTCTCTTCTTTCTACTGCTCTTGCTCTTCCAGAAGATGGAAAGATATTGGCTTTGGACATAAACCGTGAAAATTACGAAATTGGCCTTCCAATTATCGAGAAAGCCGGTGTTGCTCACAAGATTGACTTTAGAGAAGGCCCTGCCCTTCCTCTTCTTGACCAAATGGTTGACGACGTAAGTACTTACAGATTTCCGAGAGGTTTATATTTATAAATTTTATTTTCTTTAAATTAAAAGTTAACTTTAGTTTGTATACTTTGATTTACAGGTAAAATTCCATGGATCATTTGATTTTATTTTTGTGGATGCTGATAAAGACAACTATCTTAACTACCACAAAAGATTAATTGATCTTGTGAAAATTGGAGGAGTGATTGGCTACGATAACACCCTTTGGAATGGGTCTTTGGTGGCACCTGCTGATGCTCCACTGCGAAAGTATGTTAGATATTATAGAGACTTCGTATTAGAGCTGAATAAAGCGTTGGCTGTTGATCCAAGAGTAGAGATATGTCAGCTTCCGGTGGGTGATGGAATCACTCTATGTCGCCGTATAAGCTAAACACAAATCATGGACAACCGAAATAAACAATTAATATTTATCTTTCATACCTTGAAAACTTGTAAATGAATCATATTTTTCATTGATTTCTTCTATGTAATGCTACAATTTGCATTGATCATTGATGCTTTAAATTATATTGCGGCGAAAGTTTATTAAGCCGATATGTGCGAAAGGTTATTTTTGAATGAACAAACTAATGAAAAACATTAAAAGGTTATTTTTCTATTGAATGGGACCATTTTTGTAATTATACTACTACACGTGGACCGTTTATGTAGTTTTATTTTAAAATATTACATATGGACCATTTCTATAAGTTTACTATTACACATGCATTCTTTCGGTAAATTTTATGTTTCCTGCTATTACATATGGAACTTGACAAGTTCTGTAATAATACTATTACATTGGGATTAAAGCATAGGGACCATTTCTGCCATTCTTGCATTTTACCAACACAGGGATCATTTATGTATTTTTACTGTTACATAGGATCATTTATGTATTTACTATTACTACTCTATTTCGTGTCATAAGAGTAAAGAAAATTAATTTTTTTTACTATTGTGCAATAACTAAAAAAAAATAGGTGGTATTAGGTGTTACTTTTGGAGTAGATTATAGTATTTGTATTTGCCGTTTCAATATTAAAAAAAAAAAAAAAAAAAAAAAAAAAAATTGCAACTAATGTAAGTCCAACAACAAAGAAATATGTTGCACCAAGTTTTACTCCAAACTTATAAAAGAAGCCCAATGCAATCTAACAAATAATAGCAAAAAATAACCTTAACTAATAAAAAACCCTATGTAGTTTACTCTATGTTATAACCCTGTGCAATCATACAAATAAAGCTCAAACCTTATAAGCAATGGACAAAGCCCAAATCATTTGTTTGTGTGTGACAGCCTATCAAAAAAAAATAATAATAATAATAATAAATAAATAAACAACAGATGGCAAAAGCCAGACTTCAATAAAAAGGCAACTAGATGAATGCATCCTGCTTGGTGGTGCTTTTTTGTAGACTCTTCTTTTGCAAGTTACGATTACAAACTTTATCAAACCTAAAATATTTGGTTTGATGTTTCGGTTTGTTTAATGTTTTTCAAACTAATATTTTTAGTAAAAGTTCTTTTCTTTTTATAAGAATTTGTCTGAGTTTAACGGTTTCATGAGTTTGGCATGTGTTCATGTGTTTTACGGGTTGTGACGAATTAAAATGGGATTATATAATCGTGTTGTGCCTATGTCATGTTTTCCAACTTGTTTTATTAAATGTACCGTGTTCGGGGACCTTCACTCTCAACCCACTTAACGTTTCAACCTGCCACAAATCCGACACATTTTTCAAATCTATGTTTCTGAACAGTGATAACAACCTGGTAAATGCTATGTACGTATATAATACCATTATTTAGAAATTTATGTATAGGTAATTTTGATTGCACTTTGTGATGCTATATGATACGGACACAAAGCCATATAATTGTCCTAACCCTCCATCATTCAAATGTGAAGAAAATTTCACCCTAACTCGAATTACTATGATAATGTAGTATGATACTTTATCATCAATGATATAATAAGGTTATTTTTAGGAGACTAGCTGAAAAACTAAAAATCACATTGAAAAACTAAAAATCACATAAACTATCTTTTAAACTCAAAATCACATAAACTATCTTTTAAATTCATAATCACATAAAAGACATGTAGAAGAAGACATACATGTAGAAGAAATTTATGTATAGGTAATTTTGATTGCCCTTTGGTATAAATTATCTTTTAAATTCAAAATCACATAAAAGAAATACATGTAGAAGAATGATACATCTAATCAAATTAAAGTAAGTAACAAAATAATAGTTGTACGGTTACCTGTGTTTTAAGTGAATCTTCTCTGATTACATATGATTCAATAAAACCGGAAAATAGCATATATATATATATATATATATATATATATATATATATATATATATATATATATATATATATATATATATATATATATATATATATGAGAAGAAAATAGACTGAGATATTGAAATTTAATTTGTATGTTGTTAGAGAACTATTAGCACTACAAACCCTGTGGAGACGACAAATTCATACCATATCTAGACGACAAGTCGTTGGCATAGGGTATGGCGACGACAAGTCGCCAGAAAGGGTCGTCGGCATAGGCGTGTCGGCATAGGTCTGTTACGTTGTCGGCAGAGATATCATCGGTATAGCGTACTCTATTGCAACAACATGCCGTCGGTACAGATTTTGTCAACAATATTTTCGGGGGAAAAAAAATAAGGTTTTATAAAACCCTTTGGCGACGAAATGTCGTTGGGACAGCTATAGCGACGACTAGTCGTCGCGACAGGTTGAAGCTATTACGACGCCATGTTGTCGCTATAGGGTTGAAGCTATTACGACGCCATGTTGAAGCTATTACGATACCATGTAGTCGTCGGACGGAATATTATTTTGTTTTTTTTTCAATTACAACATTGTACTTTTAATATATATACATTTTATTTTTTTCAATTACAGAAAAAAAAAAAAAAAAATTTATCGATCCTCATTAGATTGTATTTATAGTATATATACATATATTTTTTTCAATTACAACATTGAACTTTTTTTCACTTAAGCTAATAAACTAAATAATTACAACATTTTACAATCATACATATTTCACCGTCATACAATTTCAATTTCATATGAACCTAAACAAATTTGACTTTCATATAATATTTTAACCACAATTTCATATGTACCTAAACAAATTTGATTTTCATACAATTTCAATTTGGGATAAACCAAAACAAACAAAAAAATATCATATACCAAACCAACAAACAATATACATATACCAAACAAAAAAACAATAATCACACATATACCAAACAAACAACACAATCACAAATATATACCAACCAAGCAACACAATTCTATAATCAAAAGTAAATCAATTTCAATTTCAATTTCATGAAAACTTTTATATATATATATATATATATATATATATATATATATATATATATATATATATATATAAAATTTCAATTTCAATAAAAAGAAAAATACTAACTTGTGGTTGTTTCTTCTTGTTGTTTCTTCGTGCTCTGATGGGGACTTCCTTTTGAAGATCGATGGTGAGTGGCTGGAGGTCAAGAGTCATAAAAGAAAATCAGAAAATGTGATTGTTCCTCCGATCGTTCAAAATAAATGTTGGGTTTCAGCAATAAAATACGAAGGGTAGTAAAGGAGATAACCTGGAACAATTGGCGCCGGTGAACAACTCCCGGTGGGAAGTTTCTAGTGGCAGAATCGACGGTGGTGTTTCACCACCGGTGAAAACCTTTAAGCAAAAAAAAAAACCAAATTGGGGGTAAAAGTCATTACCATACATCAATATTCAACAAAATAGGAGTAGAAAAGGATTACCTTGGGCTAATCGCCGGGTAAGATTGTTGGAATCGGATTTTCGCCCTAGGGAAAACAAAATTTGCGTTGTTGTGCAAATGAACGAAAGCTGCGGCCATTCTTTAGGGTAAACGTATCCTTATGCTGACGACAAGTCGTCGGTATAGGGGTAAATAAACGATGTCATTTCAATATTTTACTAAAACAAAAAAAAATTAAAAATTAAAACCCTATGTCGACGACTAGTCGTCTGGACAGCCCTGTGATGCGGATCGCCACGTGTCATGCCGACGACACGTCGTCAGTATAGAATACGTAAAACTACGTCGTTTTGCTTTTCTAACACATGGATTAAAAATAAATGGAAACTATATTTTTTGATACCTATACCAACGGCTAGTCGTCGGTATTGAATTTAAGAATACCGCCATTATTTTCATCGTTCCCGCGAGAGTTTTGCCAACGACTTGTCGTCGGCATAGGGGTCCTAGTCAAATTAAATAAGTCAAAGTTCGTGAAACCTATGGCGACGACAAGTCGTCGGCATAGGGGTATTTTAGAGACGACATCTGTCGTCGGGATAAGCGTCGTCTGCATATGTTCGTTTCCTTGTAGTGGAGGTAGGGTTGATTGGAGAGAAAAACTAAAGTTCTTTCACAAAAAGTTTGAATGAGACAAATTATGGTATCAAATTGTGAAGGGCTTGCCAAATATTCAACGCCACTAATCATCAAAGGTAGAGATTCTACATGTGTAAAGATGTTCCTACTCAGCTACAAATCTAGCTTGTATAGTTCCTAGAATTCTGTTATATTTGATTAACCAACTTATCTTGTATAGTTCCTAGAATTGTGTTATATTTTTGTATTTATACTCTTTCTAGTGGTGATTAATATTCACAAGGAAATTATCCTAAACTAATAATGTCCGTTTGGACTTGCTGCAGTCATGCATATTAAGAAAAATGATTTCATAGGCAGTCATTCATCAAACTAGAAAAAACTAGAAAAGAACAAAGGCAAATGGTTAGTAAAAAACTATTTAATTGCTTCTACGTGAAGAAAGAAAACTACTTAATTTTGCAAATATGGCATCTTCTTATTCATTTTTCTTGGCGCTTGTTGAGATTATGAACACTTATCATGCCATGCCAAAAAATGTTGATTCCAAGTTATAGAAAAGTGATATTTAATTTCTTACAATATGATTTGATAAGACTTGAATACGTTAGTATGGAAGAACTCATATTTAACAAACTCAAGTAATCATTGGATCCATCATAGTTGATCGGTAGCCATTTGACAACTAATACTTCATCCGTCTCAAAATTATTGTTCATACACAAAAAACACAGAGATTAAGAAAATATTAATTAGTACTAGCTTTATTTTTATTAAATGAAATGACAATTATACATTTTTGTTGCATTTAAATCCATGGTATTTTAAATAATAATTAGATATATTTTGATAAAAGTGATATTTATTTTTAGAATTAAACTATTATTTTAAGACAAATAAAAAAATGAAAATTTAATATGAAATGGAGGGAGTAATAAATTATTTTTTGAATTTCTTTATTTAGATTGGAGATTTTATAAGAACTAACTTTTAGATATGTTTTGGTTCCTACTTGCGTCGATTCTAAGATTGAATGATTTAATCTGAAATTGCTTTTGTTGTAATTTGTTTTGGATTTAGAAGTGTTTGGCAGTTGGGACAAAAGTTGTAGCTCAAGATGCTTTTAGGATATAAAAAATGGATGAGACATGATCTTCCAATTGCATTTACGATGATCTACAAGTGCATTGGACAAAAAATATGCAGGGAATGAAATAATATTTATAAAGTTACGTTACAAACAAAGGGTGTTAGTTAGTTCTTTTCACCCGGCCTTTTCTTACGCTGCTTCTGCTTCACGTTCCTTTTTTGTTTTGTTTTGTTTTGTTTTGATTTTCCAGGTTTACTCTTTATAAAATGCACTATATGATCTGAGTTTTAAACCCACCACTTTCTACAAAATGGGAGTCCGAAGTGAGAGATTGTGCGAGTTATTTCAATGAACAGGTCGGGATTGGTACAACCATAGATATGCAACCCTTCCGAGGATCTATCACAAATCCAATTGCTGAGCAACATGCTGATATCTATGGGTACCATCCGATGTTTGGGGATTGGGAGTATTCCAATGGACAACAGGCTTTGCTTGATCAGCTTGAATCACCATCTGATGGAGATGTGAAGACAACTAGTTTTTCTCTATTTTCTGACAGCTATCAGAGATGTAGTTATGAACAGCCACTGTCTGTTGGAAGTGTGAGGCCAGGCTTCGGTTCTCAACCTTCTAATAGCGAACAGGGATATAGTTATGGAGAACCGCCTTCTGTTGGAGCTGTGAGGCAAATCTTCCTTTCTCAGCCTTCCGCTGGCGATCAGATATACAGAGATGGACAACCACCGAGGTTGAATGATTTAGGTAAAAGAGCCAAAAACAAATCACAAAAAAAAGATGGGTTATTCTTTCTAAAAAAAGCTTGTAAGCCCCTTATGAACATTTTAAGAAAATTGTTTACTCCCCGAAAGAAAATTCTCTACTCTCCTGTACCCTAGTACAACTTAAATATGAAAAAAAGAAAAATAGATAGAGGTGAGAAGAAAGTAAAAGAAAATTGATGTTGATGAGTTTGGTTAAAGTAAGGAAATGGTAAGAAATGAAAATATGATTTTCTTTACAATTTGGAAGGATTTTGAGAGAAGTAAACAAAATGTATAATTTGCTTTAGTTCTTTCAAACTCGTGAACAAAAATACAAATTTATATATATATTTTTCTTTTTCTTCTTTTCTTTCTTTATATTCTTTCCCCTTCTTTTCTTTTGTTTGCTAAAACTAAGGAACTAGGTGTAACGGCTTTCTGGTATACATGGCATGTCATGGGAGTGGTGATGATGTGGACAAGCCCCTATGGCATGCGCACCGCCCTAGTGGCATGATGCGTTGTTAGCGTGGAAGGATATGTTGTGGCCAATTGACCATAAGACTTTATCTCTTCTTTCTTCATTCTTTTGTTGTGATGACAATATCTTCAAGTTGTTGTGTGAAGAATGAAGATGGTGTTGATGTTGTGGAGGGGTGGCATGATGACCATACCTAAGAGTCTAAGATGGGTTATTTGCAATATTTAAAAGGTTTTTAAGATATTTTAATATGCAATCCAATAAAATTTATTATTTGGTTAAAAGAAATGGATGACATTACAAAATCCGATGATATATAATGTTATGTTGATATCATTTTAAAAAACCTCCTCATACATATACATTTTTAAAATCCAAATTAAAATAACTATTTGAATTTATTGCCTTTATATATCACATTGTGTTTTTATTAATTTCTGGCACCTCTCTTTATTTCTCGCATAGAACTACACTGGAGCCACAAAGTATCCCCCATGAAAAATAATATTGCATATTAGCAACCAAGGCCTTGTGTACACCTAAAAATTCGTATGTGTCATGTCACAAGTTGGACACAAATTTTACACAACATGAATTTGTGAATCACGATACAAAACACGACACACAGATAATTCATGTAATGCGTGAGTCGGCACAAATGCGATATATTTTTAACCGTGTTACACGAAAATCACGGATGTATCCACAAATACCATCTTTTAAGCTAGAAAAATATGTAAAAATATCAATCTAAAGTACAAACTTCAAATTACATTCCCAAATTGTTTTTAGAACAACTATATGACTAAATTACTACTGCATTGAATTTATAATTAACTACCTACTCAATGTTGATTTCCAAATCAACATTTTCGTTCATCACAGCATCAATATTATAGTTAGCTTCTCCAAGCAACCAATCCGTATTACAAATGAGGTCTCTGCAATATCGGATTCTAGGGAGCTACAATATTGATCAAGAACCTTACCACTATTAGCTAATTATATTTTAGGATATTATTTCAATATTGTATTGTTGTCAATATTTTCTGGTATTATTTCCTATTATACACCCACTATATTTGGAGATCCATTTGTATTTATCCTTATATAAACAGGGCATTGTTGATCAGTTCTATTCAGACAGATCCTATATTTGTTGTTATGATAACCATAAACCCTAATTTCGGTGGCTACCCTTTCATCCAATGCTACAGCTTTGTCTCGTCTGTTTCACTGTTATTTATCAAGAGCCCTTCGCTGTCATCGTCATGGGCAAAGATGATGTTAGTTCCTGTGAAGTAAAGACCAACACATTACATCTTGCATACACTGTAACGAACATCCAAACCAAGATACGAACTCTAGATGGTGTCAATGTCACGTACTCTTCATGGACAAAACTGTTTCGTCTTCATACCAAAGCTTACAAAGTTCTTGACACTACTAGAAAATAACAAATAGGAGACACCATATATAATACGGATATAACTAGTTTCGTATCCTAATAGGAAATATGATACATGATATCAAATAACCGTATTCTATTAGGTGTAACTTATATCAAATATAAATTACAAACAAATAGGATACGTGAATACTAGTAGATGTATTCTATTTGAGATATAGAATACACTAACAAAATCTGCGGTATTCTGCGGATTTAATTCCTATTTATCCAAATCATACTTCAACCCTTTTATATATAGACACTTCAACCCTATTATATGTAAATTTGAAGTCACGACCTATTTGCTTAATTGAGAATCAAATCAACGATTTGGTTACTTAGGTATGCTTTTTTATTTTCCTTTAATAATCTTTATATAATCATTTATCAATCAAATTAGTTTTCTTTTAGTTCGTAAATAATATTATATTCTTGATTGTTAATTTGATCGTAGGTTTGATTAAAGTTATATTAAATCTATATATTGGCCTAGATTATAGGTTTTCCTCTAAAGATAATAGCTCAAGTTTCAGAATAACCACATATGCATTTATGATCAAATTGAAAAGATTAAACGATGGAATTGGTGTTGGCTTCTAATGAGATATTGGAAAATATATTATAGTCTTAAAGTAGTTAAGGGTTAATAGGGATATGATCGTTGATTTAAGGATGTTTGCTTTTGAAAATTTTTATAAACGAAATAAAACTTGCAAAAGCTTCAAGTTGTCTACGTTTAAAAGAAGTATTCAATTAAAAGTAATAAAAAAACAATATGCAAAACTTATAGAGTTTAAAATCATGGATGTTTGAAAATTTATATTAAGCCAAGAAAACAAGATAATGGGAAACAAAATTTTGATTTATTATATACGTTATGTTTATTTTAATAAAAAGAATAATTTAAGATTTCATCGTGTATATGTTGCTTACTAAATCTTCAATTGAAATTGTGTGGTGGAACTAATGTAATAAATAGCTTATTTTTGTATTTATCGTTAAACTTAGGTGCAATAATTTTATGAGTTTTATGCAGAAAAGTCTCAATATTTTAGCAACAGTTTTAATAAAGTATGTGTCCAGGCAACTGAAAACTCATGAAGTAAATTACACCACTCATGATCTCGAGCCGGAAGCTGTGGTCTTCACGTTAAAGATTTTGAGGCACTACCTTTATGGTACAAAGTGCACCATTTTCACCGACCATAAAAGCCTTCAGAACATTTTGAATTAGAAAGAGTTAAACATGAGCCAACGAAGATGGGTTGAGCTACTAAATGATTACGAATACGAGATCATGTACCACTCGGGTAAGGCTAATGTGGTAGTCGACGCTCTGAGTTGAAAGGAATATTCGAGCTGTCGGGTGAAAACTCTCTCAATAACCATTCAAACCCACCTAACCACGCAAATCAAGGAAGCCCAGTTGGATGCATTAAAACCAGAAAACACCGCAAGCGAATCGTTGCACGAGATGGAGAAGAGTTTTGAAGTCTAGGATGATGGAGCGTACTATTTCATGAACATAATCTGGGTCCCTAAACTTGGGGGATTCAGAGAAGTAGTCATGAATGAGGCTCACAAGATACGATACTCCATCCATCTGGGTTCAGATGTACCTTAATATCAAACAACATTATTGGTGGCCAAACATGAAGGTAGAAATCGCCACTTATGTAAGCAAGTGTCTCACTTGCGCTATAGTGAAAGTGGAATATCAAAACCCATCGGGATTATTACACCAGCCAGTGATGCCTGAGTGGAAATGGGAAAGGATTACCATGGACTTTGTGACTAAGTTACCCAAGAAAACTGACTGGTTGGATGCTATATGGGTCATCATCGATAGATTAACAAAATCCGCTCATTTCCTGGCAATAAAAGAATCTTACAAGATGGAAAGATTGAGTAGAATCTACATCAAGGAAATTGTAAGACTTCATGGAGTACCTGTATCTATTATCTTTGACCGAGATAGTAGATTTACTTCAAGATTCTAGCAATCTCTTCAGAAGGAAATGGGAACACAACTAGATATGAGCACTGCCTACCACCCACAGACGGATGGTCAGAGCGACGTACCATCCAGACACTCGAAGATATGCTTCGAGCTTGCATGATTGACTTTGACAAGTCATGGGATGCCCATTTTCCTCTGATCGAATTCTCCTATAACAACAGTTATCATACGAGCATCAAGGTTGCTCCTTTCAAGGCTCTCTATGGTCGTAAATGCAGATCACCTCTATGTTGGGGGGAGGTGGGTGACACCCCGCTAGCAAAATGGAAATCGCCAGCCAGTGCTCTCACAGGACCAGAAATCATCCGTGGAACGATCGAAAATATATTCCAAATCAAAGCTCGATTCTAAGCATTGCGAGACCGACAGAATAGCTATGCTGACAAGTGGCGAAAGCCATTAGAATTTCAAGTCGGGGATAGCGTGTTATTAAAAGTCACTCCTTGGAAAGGAATGATCCGCTTTGGAAAACAGGGAAAACTGAACCCGCGATTCATTGGACCGTTCGAGATTCTTTCTCGGATTGGTCCAGTGGCTTACAAGCTGCAACTACCTGTCGAGCTCATCAACGTACACCCCGTGTTCCACATCTCAAATATGAAAAGTGCCTATCAGATGAAACTCTTGTCATTCCTATAGAAGAGATCAAGATCAACGAGAATCTCCTGTTCGTCAAAGAACCAGTCGAGATATTGGATAGGGAGGTAAAGCGTACAAAGAAAATCCGCATTTCGATTGTGAATGTTCGATGGAACACCAAGCGTGGACCGGAATTCAGATGGGAACGCAAAGACCAAATGAAGCAGAAGTACCCTCACTTATTATCTCCTTCCTAATTCTAGTTTTCAAAAGAATTTCGAGACAGATTCCCTCTAACGGGGGGATGATGTCACAACTGGCATTTTGTCAGGAAACCTTGTGATCATGTAAATGTCATCTATGATAATACTTGTAACTCTACCTTGATATCATACACTATGTTCACTTTATGAGCACAAACTTAATCAAGATTCACAAGTGAAGTTCAAAACTTTACACAAAAGCATCTAAACAGTCAATTAGGGAGTTAAAAACCTTAGAGATCCAGGCTCAAGTTCATTATAGCCTAGGATTTCTTTATTGGGCCTAATGGACCAATAAGCATTCAACTCAACTATATTGAGCTCAGAAACCCTATTTGGATT